ATTCCGTCTCTTATTTTTTAAATCAACCTTATAATTAAAAACTATTTTTTGCTACTGCAGATAATATAAACGATTAAGATTAACTTGTTTTATGAATATAGGAAAGTTAGTACTGCGTTATATTAGCTTTGAGTAACATATATAAACGAGAAAGTTAATTAAATATGCAATAATTAATTAATAACAAGGTAAATGTAACGAATAATAACAAAGTTTATTCTTTTGCATACTGTGCTGAAACCAAATTGAAAAAAATATAAATATTATAGTTACAAAGAGAAATAGAGTTCTATGTTTGCAGAATGAGCGACATCTGAATAATTAATTTAAAATCTTGAAAAGTAAAATTCAAAGTGACCTTCACGCTTGCATTTTATGTACATCAAAGCATTTCATGTGCTCCAAAATAATTATTAAAAGTTACTTTTTAATCAATAACGATTTATTTTGATATCAATGCACATTAAATTAATTAACATTATAGTTACAATAAATATAACTGATTAATCATAAGTATAACTGATTATCTCTTTTTAAATTAATAACAATATAATCCTTTGTTATGTTTTGTATAGAATAATTCCATATCTAACTTATCAAATGTCGATTAAATTATTTTGCTGAACAATCGATGCACACAATGTATACTTTCCGTTAATAAATATGTCGCAGATAACAATTATACGTTTTACCAAATTTCGATTATTGAGATTAGTGGATATAGTATTAATCGAGATTTGGTTGATTCGTGATTGATGAAATTCTCTGTTTAATTTTATTTAAAAAGAGAGCGAAGAGAGAGTTCCCGACTTAAATGTTAAGAAATTAAAACAATTATTTTTAAATGCTGTAAGTGATAACATGGATACGTTTCACGCATGATATGTTGCATGATGTATCATTTTATCCTTTTTATTCGGTGAACAACAACAATAAAATGATACATCATAAATGCCTTCCATTTAGTGACACAAGTTGACACAAATATCGTTCCATCTTTTTTTGCATTCCATGAGTAACAAAAAAAGATGGAACGATATTTTGTCGATTGTATCACTAAATGGAATGCATCCTATATGTATTATACTTGAAATGAAACGCACTCCAAACTCCAATGAGCTGCTGCAGTCAGAATAATGAACGCTACAGATTGATAGACATGAAGCTGCCAAAGTGAGGTGAAACACCTCACTAATATGACTTTTATCGATAAAATACTTAATATTTATTCTACCGAATAACGTGACATTTTGACATTGAGTCTTTCATTGTTCGAATGCTTGCAATATATAATATCTCCTGGGGCCCTATTCTGTAACTTTTAACGACAACGTCGATATCACTATGTGTTGCGCAATGTTTCACCATATAAAGACTGTGTTTCAAAATTTACTGCCAGTACGTTACGTGCACTATAGATTTTCAGTACTGGCAAATTTTAGAACACAGTCAAAATATCTGTGCAATGACACTGTAACGATATCGACACTGTCGTTACTCCATTTCCACCAATGTAGATTAACCAATGTAGATTAATATTCAGAATTAAAAAAAGACAAAGAGTAAGTTGAACCGAGATTAAAGTTAATCTGCGTTGGTGGAAACGAGCGTAAAAGTTAGGGGCTCCGCACAATAAAAGTAACAGGGAACAGAGAACAGAGAATAAGAATTTCAACCTATTAGAAACTGTGTATTCCACAATATATGATTTCTGATAAGCTGATGTTCTACAATGCGCTCTTTGTTTCCTGTTCTTGCTTTTTACCTTTTACTTTTTTCTCCTTTGCAACCTTTTTCTCGTCAAATATTTCTAGTTACGTATTTCTTGTTTCTTTCAAAGTTTGTTAATTTTTATCTCGGGCGACATAAAACAAAAAACCGGATAAGAAGCAAGAAGACAAGTTGTAAAAAATAGTAAAAAGCAAGTAACAAGAAACAAAAAGCCATTGTAAAATAGGCTTTACAGAATAGGACAGCTGGGCCGCAGTTCGATTTAAGCGCTCACAATGCTTAAAAATCATTTTATCCTTGTTGTTTGTCAAGTGTTAAACAAAGATGCTCATGAGCGTTGCCAGCATGAATCGGACCACGGTCTTAAGTAGCTTCATGTACATACATATACCAATGTATTGCGACTTTTAAAGTATATTATATTACTGTAGGTACACAAGCAATAGCGAACCCATGTCCCCCACGTCAGTCGTTAGATCGTTACCCGCGAAAAGAGGTTATGTTCAGATGTCGCACTGTGCCAGTGCGGACGAGTTGGGAGAAATATAGAAAACGTGTTGCTTCCGGTATGCTGTTGCCGACTCTGGATTTGACGAGATTAGACTGAATTTCATCAGGCTTGGTGAGCATCGCGATGCATTGAGGATTGGCTAATCCTATACAAGAAGCACGCGAAGACGTTACGAAAAATCGTGCATATTATCGAACTCTACGTGCGAATGTGTCTCGATCTACGTAGAAGGAGAGGTTAGGATCCCAAGCTTGGGTACGTAATAAGTGAACGTAAAGGAGATTGATCGTGGATATAAGGCAAGTTTTTTTTAAATTTCTAATTACATTATGCGCAAATGCAACTCTGCTCCATTTGCGCATACTGCATAATTGATCGATTGACAAATTAAAAAACTCACTTATAATTATGAACGGTTGTGTAGATCGCGATACGTCAGTGCTCCGTGCTACGAATCGAAACAACAGCCAGGGTACGACATGAGCACTCAGCAAAGTCCAGCTGCCCTGCAATCCACTGTCGACCGTGAGAAGGTGTACACATGGATAATCGAGTTATCGAATCCAGAGACAAGGGAGAATGCTCTTCTGGAGTTGAGCAAGAAGCGTGAGGTAGTGCCTGATCTGGCACCCATGTTATGGCACTCATTTGGCACTACAGCCTCTCTCCTTCAGGAGATCATTAACATTTATCCGGCAATCAACCCTGCGACTCTCACCGCTTATCAGAGTAATCGGGTTTGTAATGCCTTAGCGCTGTTGCAATGCGTAGCCAGCCATCCAGAAACGAGATCTGCATTTTTACAGGTAGGGTTATTCTATGATTTACAGCTTTAAATAGCGATAAAATTCTCTTCTGCTAACTAAAAAATTGATATAAATATTGGTAATATTTAAAATATAACAATTATTATACTGGCTATGTCTGTTTTATGAACATAGAGGAGAATTTTATTTCATAAATGTATGTACAGTAAAACTCCGTTTATCTGCATTCCACTTGTATAAACAAGTTCATGCTCAATTCCTATTATAGGAAATAAGTACTGACAGAAAGAAGAATTAGTTAAAACTCTATTATCAGAATCATTTGATTATTGGAACTGTCTTTTTCCAGGACAAGGATAAACAGAGTTGTACTATATATACAACTAAAAGTATATATTTATAAAATATCACATATGTTTGATTTCAGGCACATGTTCCATTGTTCTTGTATCCGTTTCTGCATACCGTTAGCAAGACTCGCCCATTTGAATATCTTCGCTTGACAAGTCTTGGTGTGATTGGTGCACTGGTTAAAACCGATGAGCAAGAAGTGATCACCTTTCTTCTCACTACCGAGATTATTCCACTCTGTTTACGGATTATGGAAAGCGGCTCGGAATTAAGTAAGACTGTGGCGACATTTATATTGCAGAAGATACTGTTAGATGACAGTGGCCTCTCCTATATCTGTCAGACTTATGACAGATTCAGTCATGTTGCCATGATATTAGGAAAAATGGTTTTATCCTTAGCCAAAGATCCTTCCGCAAGATTGCTTAAACATGTAGTACGGTGTTATTTGAGACTCTCTGATAATCCAAGGTGAGTATCAGAATATGTACACGATACATTCTTAGAAATCCCGAAAAATTTTAACGACAATTAATTTTGCAGGGCACTGTTAGCTCTAAGGCAGTGCTTACCGGATCAGTTGAGAGATAACACATTTGCGACATGTTTGCAAGAAGATGCCTCAACTAAGCATTGGTTGAATTTACTTCTTAAGAATCTCGAGGCCGGTCCGCAACAGCCAGGTCCACCGACTCAGCCGGGTCAACAAGATCCCAGGACGATTGGTATGTCGCCGCTTACATCTTAAAGTAAGTATCCTCTTTTTTGACGATCATATGATATTTGGTATACGAAAATATCATATAAGGACTTTAAAACGCTTCTATCCGTTCTATATCCATTTTTACGAAATGGTACATCATACTAGACGGTCATCTGTATTGTTACATATAAATATGAATTGTGCTGTGAAAACTAGTAATAAGTATATCGTCAGATTGGTAAATCAAGTACATTATGATCATTGTAAATATGTATAGATGCTTGCGGCGAAATCTACCAATTATAATCGGTTTGATTTCATTCACTCAAACTTGAAAGCTACCGGTTAGTAACCTTTTTATATAAATTAAAAATGTTTTGTACGAACAAGATATTATGGAGGTTTTAATGCTAGATACATAATATATATGTATGTATAATATATAATTATGTATAAAATATGCAAGTGTGATTATCTATGAAGGTAAATCAACTTAATTTATATTAATTATTATATTTACGCTTAGGCGCCGGATATTTTGGTAGATTTTACAACATAGATGCGTTATCCATTGCCTAAAAATTTTATACCATAAGTCAGTATTTGATTGCGCAAAAATTATTCTTCAATATGCAAGTAAACATGCAAATATTAGATTAACATTTTTCTCTTTGTACATTACATTGGCCTAATTAAATTTCGTTAAATAAGCGATATATACAATACATAGCGTATAAAACAGAATCGGCATTTTTGAATCACTGCCTGAGAGATAATGATTTACGTAGGATTAATTTATGCACGCATAACGAAATTGTAGTTAGTCCCGCTATATATTGTGATTGATTGATGGTGATACACTATGTTTAAACCATTACGCGTAATACAATGGCATCATCTATGTCGTCAAATGATTACGAATCGTAGTTATAATATAATTTTATGAGATATTGGGACTAAGTCGAATACATGAATACAAATTTGACATGTACAATTGTATACATTTTGCCTAGCTCAACTGCATTTGAATGAAAATAGGAATAATGGCTAACATTTTGAAGAAGTTTGCATCGTTATATCGTTCACATCGTTTGTCATTTTGAGCTCAGCCTCATTCTATAAAAAGAAAGGAAAAAAGGAAAATAACATTATATATTAGCGATAAGATTTCTTCCGATTGAGGATCGTGAAATTATACGCACTTTTTGAGGATCTCTCGAACGTAGAAAACCGTGTATAATGGGTGTAAATAATCTCTTATCCGCACGACTGTACTTAGATGGGCCAGTAAACCACGAGACCAGCAGGCCCACTAGAATTGTAATTAGAAAACCCACCCACGTGTACCAGAGATAAGACATTCTGTACAAGAAGAAAGGCTGTTCCCTGAAGAAAAAAATTAAGATGTTTTAAATACGATATGGTATATGGGAAGTGTCATTACGCGGTTTTTATATACGAGAACAATTTAATAAATGTACCTGACAGCGGTCTCAACGATTGTCGTGAGGTTTCCAGCGGTGCTCCTCAACGATTCGGTGCATCCATCTACCGATACCGGTTTTACCGCGAAATAAATGGATCCGTTAGAGATCGCTGCTTGCGTGCCGAACGAGATCCAAGCGACTAAGTTCAGACTAACCACTGCACCGACGAGTGCTCCCTGTTCGAGTAAGAAGATTGAGTTCGCATGATCCCATAGCAAATTGCAGGATTTCTTAAGATAGGTTTGATTTTAATGATAAATTCTACGATTCACTTATATTGTAAATCTGTCATTGAAATTAATCATCGAAAATTCTGCGATTATCCTGATATTACATTAAGATTTAAATTTATATAAATAAACATATCTTCGAAATAAAGTATTAGGAAACAATATGGATATTTTGTTTAAATATAAGTGGTAGAATACGCATATAGAACGTTGATGTCCTATTAATGAAATAAACCTAAAATTGTACAATGTACTTCTGTTGATTTCTCTGCAATAATCCTCTTACCATAGAGTTGGCCATTGGGAACAGCATGCCCAACGTGAACATTCCAAGTAAGGGCCCGGCGGTTATTCCTGATAAGCTTTTACCAGCCTGAAAAGATCAGCACGCTTTTTATTGTCGCATAGATTAATCGAGAATTCATTTACGCAAATGATCCGGTATTTCGTTACCGAACGTTCGTGTACGATTACGATTATTTCTTACCTGAATCAAACCACTCAGTTTTTCCACCATGAATACGAGACCCACGCAAATGGCTCCTGTTATTACAACTATAGCTTTCATTATACGACTCGCGCCAACGTTAGAGATTGGCTTACGGAGACACGGCTTGATCATGTCTTCATAGATTACGCCAGACATGGAATTTAATCCCGTCGACATTGTGCTAAAGGTCAACGAGTGTTTTACATAGCCAAAAAGGAAAGATGAACGGAAGAGCGGTATATAGAGTAGAGCATTATACGAAGTGAGATCCTCTTTCATCTCGGTATTATATTAAATAATTTAAAATTTAGCAAAGAATTTACATCCACAAAGAAAATGAGAGATATATTGATCCTGTATATTTTAATTGAAAAACCCATTTTTAAATACATTTTAATCTAAAAAATCAGAGCATCTAAATTCTATAGTACCTCAATGCCGCGCTGAATACACCAGAAACAAATAATCCCGGTAAACCTGGTATTGCCTCTGATAATTCCATCACAAAATATGGTAACAGCTGATCAGGCTTTCGTATTTGCTAAAATACAATTTTCATTAGTATTCGTCGAAGCGTTTAATCTAAGATTTTGCATAAAATCATCCACGTTGATCATGTAAATTCCCGAGAGGGAGGGAGAGAGAGAGTCGAAATTTTAGTCCCACTTTCAATCTCTTTCAACCTCAATTAAACCTTATGTAAATCTATTTTGATTCTTAAACAATCAAATAGTATCTCTTTTAATATTTAATCTACTTAATCTACAGTTTCTATTTAGAAAACTTCTTTTGAACCTAAAAATAGGAAATTTCATTTACAGGCTCAATATAGGAGCTCAATTCATTAGATTGGAAATTATTATAAATCTATAGAGTCTATATACGTCCTAATTGTATATAAATCTCTAGAATCTACATATGTCCTAAAACTTCAATCCTAAAAGGTTCAAAGTAGGATCAAAATTTCGACTCGGGTTACTTTACATCAAGATCATTTTACCTTTGTCGTAACCGGGTCGCAGTCATAAAAAGCCGCGTAAATGACGATTCCCGTATAGCAACATAACGAGACAATGCTGATTATGCCTACGGCCATTATCATAATCGCCCTAGATATAAAAGGAGATTAAATGAGTGACATGCGCCGCCGTGCGTCATGATGCATTTCTCGGACTCACACATTGGATTTCTTCAAGTTTGGCATCGCTAGGCATCGCTGCACCATTGCTTGGTTCACCGAGCATGTGGCCAGCCAATTCAAATAATTGCCAACCACCACGCCCCAGAAAGTGTGCCTTACCGTAGGATCCAGATTCATGCTGATTAAAGATTGAGCATAAAAATATGAAATAAGCATTGCGTGATTATAATAGAAACAATTATCTATAAGGTATACGATAACTTAACGATAAATTAAATTAATTATAATAAAAATGTATGAAGAAATTGCTGCTAGTACTTGAAGAACTCAATCCTCCCGGAGTCGATATTCCTTTTCCACACCTCCGCTACACCACCGGCTCTGGCGGTGCCAAGTATAACAACGGTGATGACGGCACCGAACATCATCACCGTCTGAATAGTGTCCGTCCAGACGACCGCCTTCAAGCCACCCTGAAGTGCAAAATCACATATTTTATTATTACTGATTATCTCAAATTTTAATTATAAGTAATAATATATAATACTATTCTATTTCTTTAACGCTTATTATATAGACTAATGTAAGTATATTTTTATCTCACATTTAGAGAGAGCGTTGAGGATTGAGGATAATTTCTCTATCGATTGCCTCTTTTCTTACAAAATAAATAAAATAAACATCTCTGCATGAAATCAACTCTCAGATCTACGAATTATGTTCTTACCAAAGTCGTGTAGAAGATACACACGGCACAGACTAGTAACGCGATCGTATAGAGATCTATTCCGGTCGCCTGATTGAAGGCTAGCGCCGGCACGTATATCACCAGCGGTATGTAAAGCAGCTGCAAGCGCAAAATTATTCAGCGTATTAAATTGTTTGCAAGATCGACGCGTATCGAGTTCAACACTTCGAGGAATTCTCGATATGTAAAGATATATATTGCATGCCGAATATTGTTAATAAGAAGATTTAGATATATACATACATATGTATATACCAATTTTAAGAAGAGATTGGCAAGAACATTTATGTTCAAACAAGGAAATCAATTCTGGGCACAAACTTACTTTAAATTATTAATTTAAATTTATTTATACGTATATGTGTAACAGAATTATACGTATATAAAACAAACTTACCATTTTGATGATGAAGATAAAAGATCCCATAAGTCTGACCACTCGATTGAATCTTAACTCTAAATACTGCAAAAAAAGAATTGCTATTTGTTAAGGTTCCTTGTTATATATAGAAAAAATGATTTTGCTAAAGTATTATGTCAAAATAATTTATGTAAGACTTTTAAACTTGTTAGAATGTTAAAACTTTTTGTACATTATGCTTGAACGTTCTATATAATGATTTTAAAAAATTATTTTTCAGATTGGTATGTAGCTAAATTTTTAATTACTTTATTTTTTAATTGCTTTACTTCAGCAAAATCATTCTTTCCGTAAATAACAAAAATATAAGGATTCTTCGTAAATAAAATAAATAACAATAAATGAAGGGCGAAGTAAGAGTCAGCGCATTTCTTTAAAAAGTCATATAATTAAAGGCATAAATTAAAAGTATAAGAAAAGATAAAAAAAGAAAGAAAAGATGTATACTAAGAAATAATAACGGTGAAAAAAATAAAGATATAACATACGAATAAGTATACGAATAGTAACGTACGAATAAGTCAAGTTCTACATTGAGACTCTACCGAACTGCGTGTATTCTTAATCTGTGAACATTTGTGATAATTATTTTTTAATTCTGTTTCCATTATGTTTTAACGTCTGAAGAAGGCTCAATCCGGTAGCCGAAACTTGTAATGTATGTTATATGTTTATTTTTTTCACCGTTATTATTTCTTAGTATACATCTTTTCTTTCTTTTTTTATCTTTTCTGTACTTTTAATTTATGCCTTTAATTATATGACTTTTTAAAGAAATGCGCTGACTCTTACTTCGCCCTTTATTTATTGTTATTTATTTCCGTATAAAATTATTTACGTACCTCATAAGAAGACGTAATTCGGAGTCCGTAGAAAACCGGCAGGTACACGATCGCCATTGTAATGGATACAAAACTATCCGCGATCACAACACACCATAATTGCGTACCGTAAACGTACATTTCGGCCGGCAATCCCAACATTGCTATGCCCGACACGTAGCTGCAATTTTAAGGGGCTGTCCTTAGAATTACTCGTAATCATGCAGCATTTAGACAATGCAAATTTAAACGTCACTAATTCTCAATTTATTTCTAGCAAATGGACAATTTAATGGACTCAATTTAATGTCGTTAATAGCGAACATAATTTTGTGAATTAAAAGTTAATATGTAGGAGAGACAAAGAATAATTTTGTCTCATTAAAAAATCGCGATTATCGATGATTATGGATGATTAATAAAGTGTTAATATAATATGCATATATAATTTTAATTTTTATATATTATAAGTTGTGTTGTGTAAAATGAAAATTATGTATCTTAATTCATAAAAATCACAATTTTACAATTTTAGTAAGGAACATATGCTTAAATCAAAAGTAAAGCAATTCGCAAATAGCAATTGCCGTCAATAAAATATTAATAGCTTCTAACTAATATAGGGTGCTCTTAAAAACGAATTCTTATCCAGATTATTCTGACAAGTGGACTATTAATATTTAGAATCTGAACTAGCGAACCTTGACGGCCAATTGAAATGAACATCACCTTATATGTCCTATACGTATATTTTCACAGAACAGTTTTTCTACCAATATCCCAATGCTCTCATATTCACTAAGCTTACATAAAGTTAGATTAAGGTCAGACATACATTCAAAAAGTAAAAAATATTTTTTCAAGTCTTTCTAGTTATCTTTCGAAAAAGTTTGAAACTAAAACATTTTTAAGTGTGTAAAAAATAGC